ACACGGATGCGGCGGGCTGCAGGGCCATGCGGACTCAGTCCTCTATGTCCGGGACACCACCGGTCCAGGACCAGTCCTGCACGCTGCAGTACATGCCGTACCCCAGAGCAGGCCTCTTGGCTGCTAGGGACTTTGGCCACTCACGTGTCGCGTAATGGAGGATCGGGTCCATCCGCGGGCACAACGTGGGTTGTTTCCTCCTCCTCCCTCGAGTGGTGGCGCCCACCGAGGTGAAGTCCTCCACCGTCTGGACCGGTTGCGGTGGTAGAAGAGCATCCATGATGGCCGCCGCGGAGGAGTAGAGACCGGGCATGTGGTCCAGCGGAAAGTGGTCCGGCTCCGGGTTGGACACCACCTCGTCCAGTGTGAGGAGAGAGCCGTCCTCCGAAGCCTCTCCAACCTCGCAGTCACCCCATTCCGCGGGCACGGGCGGAAGGTCGAGTGGGGCCCAGTCAATCTCAGACTCCTCGTCCTGTGAGGAGTCCGGACGGGGCGCTGCAGCGGCGAAGAACGCGCGCCTGTGTTCACTCTCCTCTTTGGGGAGAGCGAGACACGAGGCGCAGCTAGCGCTCAACGCCGCATGGCCCGAACCCAGGCACATGAAGCAGCTGGCATGCTGGTCCGTGCGCTGAAGCCTGACCCGACGAGTTGAGCAGCGACGACGTCTGACGCCGGAGGGCGAAGGGGAACTCGGACGAACAATGGAAGACATCTCAGAACGAAGTAAGTACTGTTACTGTGGTAGATCTCAATCGGCGCCAGAGTGAAAGAGGGGGCGCGGCTATGGAGCAGGGGCTTTTATAGAGGAGCGTCGCTAGTGATTGGAACATTTTTTGTTTGATCTCTCTGGCGTCTGTGACCTGGGGGTCACGTGATATCCCACTAGCGAAGTCCGCTAAGGGACGTAGCACCATGACGTAGAACTTCTGTCTCCACTGTGTGTGTAGAAAGATCTGTTTTGTTCAAATGTTATTACTTGTAGGAGCTGAATGACCCATGTGCTCGCGGGATTCTCGCGGTACTGCAGACTAAACGAGACAAAATTCACGTGGGCTACCCAGAAACAAAGAACCTGATGTAACCGCGGTGGTTGGCCCCGTGGATGGAAAGTATATTTCTAAATATGGTATTGCTACACTTAATGGCAAAAATTGCACAGGTCTGTTGGACTTGAGCAAAAATAAACAATATTTTGTTGCTTACGCTTATGTATTCAGTCACTATTCATTGGAATACAAAAGATACATGTGTACAAAATTCTCACTGTTCTCAGGTGAAATATTTATATGCAATTAATTAACTCATTCACTGCCATGGACGTCTATTGATGTCAATCTATATACTTCTTTTGCGGTTTTTTCTTTCTTCTTTCTTTCTTGTGCATCCTGTGTCAACATTTCAGACCTGTAAATGCTTTGGAGTGTTTTTATTGTATACAAGTTGAATATTTTATGTGTACATAAGACAATCTTTTGAGTGTATTGTGTGAACACGTTTAATTTGTTTAAAAATAATTATACATTAAAAATACAATTCAAAGTATTGTTTCTGTTTTGTGTCATAATAAACTGTCATACACTGTAAAATATCAGTAAAGGGATAAAGAAAACACTTTTCTGCTTGAATATGTGCGTTTCACAAAAAGGCTGTTTTCTCGCCACGGTGGCTGAGTGGATAGCACTCTTGCCTCTCAGCAAGAAGGTCCTGGGTTCGAATCCCGGCCGGACCAGGGCCTTTAAGAGTGGAGTTTGCATGTTCTCCCCGTGTCTGCGTAGGTTTCCTCCGGGTACTCCGGTTTCCCCTACCACTAAAAATATGTACAATAGGTCTGGCATGCGCGTCCTGTTCGGCGACCCCGCTCCCATCTCTGTGTGGAGTGAGAGGACAAGTGCCCAAAAATAACAATTGTAAACCGCTTTGAGACTCTGGTCTGTGAAAGGCGGTATATAAATAAAGCTTACTTACTTATCCATATGTTGAACAGGAAACAGCATTTTTGTGTGAAAGTTACTGTAGTAAGTATTGTACTCTCAATTGCTAAAAAACTAAAAGGGGCCGAAACACTTATTTTTTTAATGAAAGGCAAGAGACAGAGATTTCATTTGGTATGTTTCATACTTGTGTCAACCAAGGGCTCACATTTATACGAGGTTTGGAAAAACACAAAAAATATCCAGTGAATGGGTATATTATAATATATATATATATATATATATATATGACATTAATATATGTATATATTAATCTTCATTATAACCATGTATCTTGTATCAGCATTTTCTTGCTATTATCTTGCTGTTATTCTCGACAATATGCATATCAATCATAACTAATCTGCATTGTGTGTACTGCATTAAATCTACAAAACCATCTTTGTCTGAAAGTAATATTTGTTCTGATTTAACTCCAGAAACGTTAATTAATGGATAACGTGACAGTGTACGCATGTAATCAGAAGTGATTTAGTCACTGGTTCCCTGAAATAAAGCTATAATCAATATTGTATTTTCTACATGATTGTCTTTGATCCAATTATCCAATATCAAAGAAGTAAGTTATGGGTTAAATCCACTTCAATACCCCTACAACACAAATACATTGAATTGAATGTTTTAGTCCTATGATCATGCTCTGAGGCTTTTGATTGGACAAGTTTGCAAATACTATTTAATTGTATATGTTATGATTTTGTGCTGCCATGACCACAATCATTACCCTCAATCATTTTTAACACCCAGCTCACAGGCACTTTGATAGGCTCAATATCACTGTTTTCTTAACACTAATCCTGAACCATTTCTTCCAGATCAGACCAGACTGTCAGACCTGGTTCATGGAGAACAGATATGTTTTTTATAAAGAGGAAGTTATATTCATACAACCTACAACTTTTCTTCAACATTTTGTTTTTTTGAGTTTTTCATGGTCACAAATGTCTTTGCTTCTGAAGAGTCAGGAAACTGACAAAGAGACTACTGTACTGTGAAAATCTCAAGGAGTCTTCCAATACGGATACAATGCCTTGCAAAAGTATTCACCCCCTTGGCATTTTGTGTGTTTTGTTGCGTCACAACCCGGAATCAACATGGATTGTTTGAGGATTTGCATCAGTTAATTTACAGAACATGCCCACAACTTTGAAGATGTTGTCTTTTTTTTATTGTGAAGCAAACAACAAATAGGACAAAATAACAGAAAAGGTCAATGTGCATAACTATTCACCCCCCTAAAGTCAATACTTTGTAGAACCACCTTTTGCGACAATCACAGCTCCAAGTCGCTTTGGATAAGTCTCTATGGGCTTGCCACATCTTACCACTGGGATGTTTGCCCATTCCTCCTTGCAAAACTGCTCCAGCTCCTTCAAGTTGGATGGTTTGCGCTTGTGAACAGCAATCTAAGTCTGACCACAGATTTTCTATTGGATTGAGGTCTGGGCTTTGACTAGGCCAGGGGTCGGCAACCTGAGGCTCTTTAGTGCACCTCCAGTGCCTCCTGGAGCCTTTTAGACAATGTCTGAAAATGGAGTGGGAGTCCTATATTTTATTTCTAGTTTGAATGTGGTTTCTGTAGGAGGAAAAACATTCTTAACGTTTTTAAATGGTGTAAAAATGTGCGTAGGTAATATTCAATTTCAACATTTCTGTCAATGTAGTGCGTCATATCCGGTGACCGGCGTGTGCGCATGGATCCCAAAGCTAAAAAGAGAAAGAGTAGATAATAAGACTGGACTAAGAAAAAGAATGAACATTTGCTTTCAGTCAATGAGGAAGGACTGCTTCATGTTTGCGTTGTAATGAGAAGATTTGTTGCAACAGGAGGAACAATGAAGCACTAAACACCGTTCACGGTGATTACGTGAAGGATTCATTCATCAAAAATTCAGAGTACCTACTTTCAGACTTCAAAAACCTCTGCAAAGACGATGAAAGAAAGGGCCATTAAGGACATAAACTTAGCTCCAGCAAACTTCAGCCTGTGATGTGACCGATATTTTGCCATTTTGTTTTTTGCTGAAGGTAATGGCTTTCTTCTGGCCACTCTGCCAAAAAGCCCGACTCTATGGAGCGTACGGCTTATTGTTGTCCTATGTACAGATACTTCAGTCTCTGCTGTGGAACTCTGCAGCTCCTCCAGGGTTACCTTAGGTCTCTGTGCTGCCTCTCTGATTAATGCCCTCCTTGCCCGGTCCGTGAGTTTTGGTGGGTGGCCGTCTCTTGGCAGGTTTTCTGTTGTGCCATGTTCTTTCCATTTGGTTATGATAGATTTGATGATGCTCCTGGGGATCATCAAAGATTTTTATATTTTTTTATAACCTAACCCTGACTTGTACTTCTAAACAACACTGTCCCTTACTTGTTTGGAGAGTTCCTTGGTCTTCATGGCAGTGTTTGGTTAGTGGTGCCTCTTGCTTAGGTGTTGCAGCCTCTGAGGCCAAACGTGTGTATATAAACTGACAGATCATGTGACACTTAGATTGCACACAAGTGGAGATCATTTCACTATTTATGTGACTTCTGAAGGTAGTTGGTTGCACCAGAGCTTTTTAAGGGCTTCATAACAAAGGGGGTGAATTCATATGCACATGTCAATTTCCAGTTTTTTATTAATGAAAAATAGTTTTATGTATATATTTTTCTTAATTCACTTCACCAACTTAGACTATTGTTTTCTGATCCATTACATGAAATTCAGATTAAAAAAAATATTGAACTAAAGGCTGTAATGTAACAAAATAGGTAAAAAGCCAAGGGGGGTGAATACTTTTGCAATGCGCTGTATATCCATAATTCCCAATATTGATGTGGATGATTGGTCATGGTTCTTGTGGTCCAGAACTGGATCCTCAGTCTTGTGGAACAGACCTGGACCCTGAGTCATGTGGTACAGACCTGGACCCTGAGTCATGTGGTACAGACCTGGACCCTGAGTGCTGTGGTTCAGACCTGGACCCTGAGTCCTGTGGTTCAGACCTGGACCCTGAGTCCTGTGGTTCAGACCTGGACATGCTGGACTTTCTGGATACGGTGGAGCCTGGTGACGAAGGCGGAGTCTGGAGGGAGCAGGAGTCTGAGGTCTTCAGCTCAAAGAGAACCTGGACCAGAGAAGTTGAGGGTCAGGACCTGGTCTGGGCCAATAACTGTATACCGATGGACAAGCCTAACACACTAGCTAAAATGAAGCCCTAGAGGGAGGTGTTCATGGATGAAGCTTTGCTCCAACTCACTCCAACTCCTATTGACTTACATATTAAATTAAACTCTTCTAGCTCAGTAACCGTTTGTGTCATACTCACCCTTTTGGGCCTAAATATTTGATTTAGCGCTTTTTGTGATCCTGGTATTTATATTGTGATTTTGTCTTTGTAAATCCAGATATGAGAGACATATTGGTCAAACAAGTATTGAGCAATCATATGCCTTTATTCATCGGGGAAACTCAGGCCTGCCTTAGCAACCGTCTTAGCCACACGTCTGCTAAGGCCTGTCGCTATGCCTGCTGAACAAATTGCCATATATGGAAATTGGCTGCAGCGTATGTTCAAATCGGCTTCTTTCACATTGCTCTATCCACTCGCTATGTTTGCTCTATGGTCTGGACCAGGGTATGCTAACATAACAGTATGCAGTCAGAAACCTTTCTCTCAGAGGCCCAGTCAAACAAAGAAAAACATCCATGGATTTGGGGACCAATTACAGAATGGGGAGGGACAGCAAACTGAAACGAGGATGCACGATTGCCCATTGGGGGTTCCTGGGGGTTTGGGAGGTTTAGGGGTCTGCGGTCTTTGGGAGGTACCTGCTCAGAGGAGGCCGGCAGCTTGTGGGGGTCCATGCTCAGGGTCCTCAGATCTTCACTCAAACTCTGGAGATGTGAGACTTCAGACAGAAAGCCCACCTCCTCCTCCTGAGACACATCATCAATTACAGGGGTACTGTAATCAACAGGGTTTGTCTGTATGTTCGTTTACAACAACACTCAAAACGTATGGGACAATTTTAATGAATAATTCAGCAAACCTTCAAAATGACACAAAAAACTCGACTCACAAAATCATCCATTTTATCATTATTATTAGTGATATTCTCCAGTTAAACCAGTTCTGCTCGTCTCAATAACATCTTATTCCATTAATGATTAAACACAACTCATCCTCAGCTGACAAGAGGGGTTAGTGGACCTTAGTGTCTATTTTTGTCCTGAATATTTTTATTTTGAAAAATTTCTCGCAGCCCTGTACAAAATGCCATGAGTGACCCGTACCATCAGGGGGCGTAGCATGGACACGAAGCAGCAGAACCTCCCCCTCTCCTCCACCAGGGCTCTCCTCACAGCACTGCTCTGCGCCTCTTCCCACAGGGGGAAGAGAGGGGGCTTCAGGGGGGAGTCTGAGGGCTGCTCCCCACGGCCTGGATGGAAAACAAGACCAGAACATAAGACCCAAACAGACCCAACCAGACCATAAGAGCCCATAAAAGTGGACATAGGAGGCTCCAAGGGGAGTCTGAGAAAGGACTAGGTGATATATAGATATATAAAAAAATATCAATTTTTGAATATAATATTTGCTACTTGCATTCAGCCCAAGTAGCGAATACCTGACCTATGGATGAGGACCATCATCTGTATATTCGTTTTTAAATCTGACTTCTATGTGTTAAATGTGAAGCGCTTTGGGATCTTCATTTGACGAGTGCCTTCAAAACGTCACAGCGGCTAAACTAGCCTGGTCCAAAAAAAATGTAATCCCCGCAGCATTGACACACATCTGGATCGTAGCGTTGGGCCAAGAGCCGACTTTTGGACCATCCTGTAAAAGGTGTTTTTGAGCTGTATACATTAGAAGTGAAAAATTCTTATTCCGGGTCCACCGCCATCGGCCCGGGGTGGTATTGCATAAGCATGTCAGTGCACGTCATTTTGGACATTTTTGAGCCGGGACCCCCCACTTCACTGGACAAGACCCGGACTCATATCTGTTTCCAATTATGTGACCAGTAAACCTGACTCGTCTTTCCATTGCCCTCGTTGTACTAATACTCTCTATGTCACATGAGTCAAAGTCAAGGCCCGCGGGCCAAATCCGGCCCCCGAATGAATTATCTATGGCCCCCGGGACATTGCCTGCCATTGAGGCAATGTATTGACCCCTTAAGCTCGCTAGCCCCCGCCGGCGGGAGCAAACGAGGAAAAAAATACATCTGCTGGCAATAGCAGATGTATTTTGAACTTCATAAACCACAAGCTATATATCATTTAACGATATCAGACTTTGCATTAAAAAGATATAACGCATAATATGGGCACAAAATAAATCACGTCTGTATTTGTTTTTTACCTTTCGTCTTCTGCTGCTCCAACAAATTAGACTTTCCCCATCCTTGCTTAGTCTCTTTCTCTCCGTAACTGTTCATTGAAGAAGAATATCCACTTGTATTTCCCAAAGTATAATCCATTCTGCAGATTTAATCAAAAAACGCCCCGAAAAGAGGTCCAGACTGCTCTTTTACCACTGCCTCTGGATGTTGAGAAACAGCCCTCGGCGCGTAGCAAACATTTTTTTTTTGGCCCTCTGATGTATTTGACTTTGACATGCCTGCTCTATGTCATATCTTTGCATTATACTGCCTGCGAGGGACTGGATGGGGATGAACACACATGCAGGAGGTCAGGAGGTCCGGGGCTGTTTTCAGGTGCACGCTCTAGAGAAGGAGCACACTGACTTACATGGAAAGTAAAATCCTCTCACCATTTATGGCTCTCTGTGATCCTGGTGTTTATATTGTGATATTGTCTAGGAAACTCAGAAATGATCTTGAATAAGCTTGTATAAGCAACCGTCAAAGCAACACCTCTGGCCCTGTTAGGGCGCAAAGCTTACACTGTCGGAACACATGCCCATATTGGCTCTAGCTGGCTTATGTTTTAAAGGAGCATTATGTAAAAATCTGGCCAAAAGTGGTACTGCAGTCACAGTCAATATTTTGTAGTCCTCTCCCACTCTCCCTGACTCAGGTTGCCAGATACACACCAAATCCAGCAGCAAACACAGGGAATTATTTTATCAGTTGTTTGTCTGTCTCCATTCACATTGCCATGACAGCCGTGCTAATGTTAAGTGAATGTTTTGAATGAATGTTTGTTTTTTTTATTTGGACATTTGAGATGAGAAAAACAAAATAAAAGCAATTTAATTATGCATCAATTATGCAAAATAAATATGCAATTGATGTCCAAAATAGGAGTGGGAAGAATGGATGTTGGAACATATTTCTTCAGCGTATCAACACTAGAGGATATCACCCTTCAATTTTTTTTATTCCCTATTATTAGACATGTATTAGACATTATTTTAATTGGGTACATGTGGTCTCAAATTATTATTTTTACAAATAAGCTATAATCTGCAAAAAACGTCTTGATTATTGTCTTTTACCCGTTTTGAGCAATCTGTCATAAAATGTATTATTATGCAATTTAACACAAGCAGACATTGCCCGGACTTAAACCCGGGTCGCTGGAATGCAAGGTCTACACTGTAAAAAGTGTTGCTTTAATCAGAAACAAAAAAAAAATCTGTAAGAGGTTCCATCGGCCTTTTTGAGTACTATCAACTTTAGCTCTTTATTAAGTAATAAAGAATATTAAATTAAATTTGACAGAAAGCAAAACTATTACTTTGAAGTGATGGATTTACTTAAAATGTGTGTGTCCTTTCAAAGCAAAACTAACTTGGAGATGATCAATATACTCAATATTTTTGTATTCTTTCAAAATGAAACTTTCTTCCACCTGTAGAAGGTTTGTTAGTTTTTGTAATCCTTACATTGTGCTTTTGAACTCTGTAACTCTCATGCTGGGAGTAAATGTGTTGCAACCCGTTTAGGACTTGTTTTTAAGCATCATGACCATGTTGTAGTATCTGAGTCTGATTTGAACCCAGGGAGTACAGCGTAGATTGGCTTGACCCTGTCGATCACGGTTGGTAAAAATAAATAGAATTACTTATTTGATCAACTTAGTTTATTCAAAATGTTGCTCAAGTATTTTGCTTTAGGACTTGCTTCATATTCATTCTTAAAATGAATGGTCAAATGTAGAATTTTTAAGAAGTTTATATTTTTCTCTGCAATGCATTCTGGGTAGCATCACTGCTTCGCCACATTTTGTTTTCAATCAACACAATATATTTGTTTTGTCATTAATGCACCACCAGGCTAGAAGAAATATTTAAAGTATTTTCACTTAAAGCAATAAAATCAGTATTGTACAGGGAGCTATGATAATATTATACAGTACTTATTTGTTAACCAAAAATATAGAATAGTGGAAAATGAAGTATATAGTTATTACTTAAAATATTTAACATCAAAGTTTGGTCTGATTCACTTATTACAGTGAATGGCTTAACCATTAGGCCACCATTACACGCGATAGACAGTGCTGAGGAGGCCGGTGATTTAAATGTCAATGAAGAACGCACTCAAAGCAGCAAGTTTTGCATCACAGGAAAACTTTTATCCGCCTTCTCAATTGTTCAAAGGCCTCCCGATATAAATCCTCGTTTTAGTCTTTGTTTTGTCATTAATGATTTGAGAGTCATAACAAGATCTTTTTTAGTTCTGCGCCACATGTTATTTTACCACTGAGATTAGCCGCGAGGATTTCTGGCAACACGGATCACTGACTTCCTGATTGGCGAAACAGCGGCGGGTGGGACATTGAAATGAAAGCAATAACAACTTTTACGGGTCGTAAAACAATTTTTGATATTCCAATATCTCGGCTGAACTACTGTTATCAGTTAAAGATGTATTCGAAAAGAGCATGATTTAATAACGCCTTTTGAAATATTGGGGCCATTTAATGATGACTTGACATGCAAATATTACACACTGCTACTTTAAGTGGCTTCTTCCACATTCGACTAACACTAAGGTGATGTCACACAGTCAGCTCTATAAACTGAAGACTGAACAAACCTTTCTTGGCTTTCTTCTGCAGCCGCAGTGAGTCAGAGGAGCGCTTCTTCATCTCCTGACGAGCTTTCTTATACTCTGAAGAAACAAGACAAGAGGTCAGGATCAGAGCTGGACCTGGTCTGAACCGGGACCAGACCAGGACTTGACAAGGTGTGGGCTGCACCTTTGGCGTGGTCCTTGTCCAGAGCAGTAGTGCTCCTCCTCCACTCGTCCATCTGCTCCTGCAGCGGGTTAATGAGGCTCTCCAGCATCAGCCTGCAGCAAACACACAACAATCCAGGACTTAAAGAGAAATGAGGTTGAGACCACTGAAAAAATATGTCCGCCTAAACGCACAAGCCCAACAGAAACTGGTCTTTATGGACAAATGAAAGAAGAAAGTGTTGAGAGACTTTAGGATAAGAGAGGGACACAGCACGTGTGGAGGTGTAGCTGTGGTCAAAGGAGACTAACACTAACACTGAGGGAGGGAGGGCTGCTTTTCTTCAGCTGGGACATGGAAGAGTGAGAGTGTGTCCTTACATGGAGAAGCGCCTCAGTCGGCTCTCGATGCCTCTCTGTCTCACACACACACGGCTCAGGGCGAACCCCAGGTCCCGCGTCGCCCCTGGCAACAGAACATTGTTGTCATCACAGTCTTCATCAGACTCCATACAGCCACAAACCCACTTCCTCAAAGCTGACAGGAAGTGGGTGTCTATGTTTGTTTGATCTCCCTTTGTCTGTATGCTCTCTGTGTTTGCACATTCTCCCTGTGTTTGTATTTTTTCTCTGTGTCTGTGTTTGCATGTTCTGTCTGTGTGGATGCCAGTGCTTGATTGGACTGGGTTCAGATTGGGTTTTGTTCTGGTTTTGACCCGGTTCAGTTTTCCTCTGTTTCGGTCTCCCGTTTCCCCCAGTAACAGAGGATGGCGATGTAACCGTGGAAACCACAGCCCAATGGAGCAAAATCAATGAGCTTGAAGTAAATTTTGTTCTTCTGAATCAGATTCAGTTGAACAAAAGTCACGAATTACCACCATCCCCCTCTAATTTTAAACTTGTTACACTATGATGTCATGGACGAGAGACAGACCAGAGAGAGACAGAGAGAGAGAGACAGACCAGAGAGAGACAGAGAGAGAGAGAGAGACAGACCAGAGAGAGACAGAGAGAGAGAGAGACAGACCAAAGAGAGAGACCCAAGAGAGACCAGAGAAATTAGAGAAAGAGAGGGACCAGAGAGAGAGACCAATAGGGCCCATCTCCATGTTAAATAGGGCCATCTCCATGTCCCTATTACCACGGCCCCAATGCTCCTAACAAAGGCCGTAGTGGAGGATGGGTCAAATGCAGTATGAAATATTCTAACCTCTGCTGCTGGACGCCAGGTCGGCCACTTTCTGAAAGGCATCAAGGAAAGAAGCCACAGCCGCAACCGTCGCTCTGAGAAATAAAGATACAAGTAAAGTGAAACAAACAGACACACACTCACACAGACATATATGCCACCACCGGCAAGATGTCAGATCACTAAAATGTCCGCGCACATGCTCTTTGAGCTGGGGCCCGCCCTCACTGGTCTGGACCAGAGACCAGAGAGAGAGCAGAGAGACAGTATCAGCAGTGGTTGCGATGGTCGTCTTCTTCACAGTTGTGTGTTGCTTTGTTGTGAACTCACCGGATGTGCGATTGCAGCTTTGCCGCTTTGTTGATGAAGTCATCCCAGATTTGGAAACTGCCCTGAATACAAAACACACACAGGATTACACACATACCCACACACGTGCAAACAGTTATACACAGAGAACGTACACATGTGCGCGCCCACACACACACACACACACACACAGAGGTTTGGACTCAAAACTAGTCCAGTCCAGACTCCCGGTGCTGATGCTGAGGGGTGTGTCTGGTTTCCATAGTAACACTGCTGCAGGGGGCGGAGTTCACGGCTCCAGTTTATCCCACATCATTGGTTTTTAATACATTGTACACAGAACTCGAACACGAACTAAGCCAGATCTAAACCAGGTTCAACCTAAAGCTGTAGACCTAGAGCAGGTCTACAGTTGGTCTTCCACAACTATAAAGCCACGGTCACTGCATTCATTTGACCCACTGACACACTGACTGAGAAGCAGGACTAAACCAGGTCTAAATCAGGACCAAACCCGGCCGAAATCAGGTCTAGTAAGGTGAAACCAGGTCTACGCCAGGTCTAAGCCAGGTATAAACCATGTCTAAATCAGGTCTTACCTTCATGTCCGTGATGACCGTGTGGAACAGTCCTCCCAGCGCGCTGCACTCCCGCTCCATAACCGCCTCCATGACTCTGAGTCCCCGTAGATGGAGCCTCGTGAAGCGGCAGTATGAAGCAGGTCTGCCCGCTACAGGAGCCCCACACAGCGGCCCAGTGTCCCTATCTCGGGGCCTCTTCACGGGTTACAGCGCGGACGCGGGCTTCGGGGCCATGATGGAGCTGATGGCGGTGATGATGCTGGAGGATAACAGACCGCGCCGCTGTGCACATGCGCACTCGATCTCATGCGCAGCACACGCGCCGCACACGCAGTTCAGCTGCACTGCGGGGGGGTATGGGGCCCAGAGGACTCTGGATCTAAACTACGACCCCGGGAACATTGTGGTCCTTTTGCATCTGTTCTCAGCCCCGGCCCATACACAAATTCACTCTTCTTACAGTCAAAATGATTGAAATTAGTTGAATTGGTGGATTTCTGCACAGCTCATCTGCTTTACAAAGCCAGTAAAAAATCTCTACCAACAATCAAGCTCAATTTATAGAAAGAGAAGGTGGCCACAATCTGAGGGGAAATGATAAACTTATACCAAATGCTGTAAGAACCACGAGGAGAAGTATGTCTCAGTGTGTAGAGTGAGTCTGTGGAATAGTTTGGATGGGAATTTAAGACAATGTCCTGACTCCTACCATTTACCAATTTAAAGCTAAATAAAGAAAATCTTTTACAACAGTACAGTACACAGTGAAAATCCTTACTATAGTGAAGTGAATATAGTGAATGAACAACTGAGTATACTGATACGTTATTGAACTGTAATCTGAGTTATTGGAATTGTAAATATATTGATGTGGTCAAATAACTTGTTTATCTACTATGCATTAAGCAACCACTAAAAATGTATGCACTAGGGGTGGGATTTAAAAAGTATTTACTTCTTCCCATTCGCTTTCGAACTTTGTCATTTTTTGTGTGTATTTTCTTGAATTTGTGATTTTGTATTGCTTCTCATATTTTTTTATTATTGTTTTGATATTTGTTTTCAAATGAGAATAGAAGTACAAAGTGTACAAAGAAGCTTTTTTTATGAACTGCCATGACACTGGATTTGACAACAAAGTTCGAAATAAAAAAAGATTGATTGATACATACATACATACAGTAGCTCAGTTGGTAGAGCATTGGCCTTCAGGCCTGAAGGTCATGGGTTCAATTCCCACCTCCACACCTTCTCCACCGGCTCCCACTGATGACTGCTGTCGTTGTGTCCTTGGGCAAGACACTTAACCCCACTTTGCCCAAAGCCCCCACTGAAAGATCAAGGCTATGCTCACACTCAGAGAGCAGCCATCCTCCTGTGGACTCACCACCTGCAGAGGGTCAGTGAGGGGCTGGTGCTATGAGACTTGGGTGGCATCTCTGACTGCCACCCAAGTCTCATGGAAAATGGATGGATGGATGATTGATACATAGAGCTATATTAGCATGGGCCGTAATTTAGAAGAAACAGATTTGAACATAAGCTCGCTGGAGCCAATGTAAGGGCATCTCTTCCACAGTCGAAACAGGGGCAGAGGAGTCTCTAAGAAGGTTGCTAAGACAAGTGGATTTTCCCTCACAAATGAAGGCATCCGATTGGTCAATCCTAGAATTATCTGTCCCCTTGAACTCAAGGCGAGTGCAGGGGACCATCAACAGGTTCTGAGAGGGGGATCTCAGGCTCCTGTTGGAGACGTAAGGCTGCATCAGGCCCTTGATGTATGTAGGCGCCTGACCATGAAGAGAACTTTAAAATTGATTCTATGTGTTACAGGAGCCAGTGTTAGGAGAAATATGGGCTTTCAATATGGGTGTCAAAAGCCTTGCAGCAGAAGTTTGCACTACTTGCAAATGAGCCAGATCTTCTGTTAATATGTAAGCAGGCTGTTACAAAATACAGCCTTAAGGAAACAAAAGTGTGGACAATCATCTCCAGCTTGTGACCTGACCCTTATGTCAGGGCTTGGAGATGTTGTGTAAACAGAAGTTAGTTTTTGTTCAGCTGTTTGATCCTAGTGTATACAGTGCCTTGCGAAAGTATTCAGCCCCATTGAACCTTTCGCCACATTTCAGGCTTCAAACATAAAAGATATAAAAATTAAAATTTTGGTCAAGAATCAACAAGTGGGACACAATCGTGAAGTGGAACGAAATTTATTGGATAATTTAAACTTTAACAAATAAAAAACTGAAAAGTGGGGCGTGCAATATTATTCGGCCCCCTTGCGCTAACACTTTGTAGCGCCACCTTTTGCTGCAATTACAGCTGCAAGTCGCTTGGGGTTTGTCTATCAGTTTTGCACATCGAGAGACTGGAATTATTTCCCATTCTTCCTTGAAAAACAGCTCTAGCTCAGTGAGGTTGGATGGAGAGCGTTTGTGACAGCAGTCTTCAGCTCTTTCCACAGATTCTCGATTGGATTCAGGTCTGGACTTTGACTTGGCAATTCTAACACCTGGATACGTCTATTTGTGAACCATTCCATTGTAGATTTGGCTTTATGTTTTGGATCATTGTCCTGTTGGAAGATAAATCTCCGTCCCAGTCTCAGGTTTTTTGCAGACTCAAACAGGTTTTCTTCCAGAATGGTCCTGTATTTGGCTCCATCCATCTTCCCATCAATTTTAGCCATCTTCCCTGTCCCTGCTGAAGAAAAGCAGGCCCAAACCATGATGCTGCCACCACCATGTTTGACAGTGGGGATGGTGTGTTCAGGGTGATGAGCTGTGTTGCTTTTACGCCAAATATATAGTTTTGCATTGTGGCCAAAAAGTTCGATTTTGGTTTCATCTGACCAGAGCACCTTCTTCCACATGTTTGGTGTGTCTCCCAGGTGGCTTGTGGCAAACTTTAAACGAGAATTTTTATGGATATCTTTGAGAAATGGCTTTCTTCTTGCCACTCTTCCATATTTGTGCAGTGCACGACTGATTGTTGTCCTATGGACAGACTCTCCCACCTCAGCTGTAGTTATCTGCAGTTCATCCAGAGTGATCATGGGCCTCTTGGCTGCATCTCTGATCAGTCTTCTCCTTGTTTGAGATGAAAGTTTGGAGGGACGGCCGGGTCTTGGTAGATTTGCAGTGTTCTGATACTCCTTCCATTTCAATATAATTGCTTGCACAGTGCTCCTTGAGATGTTTAAAGCGTGGGAAATCTTTTTGTATCCAAATCCGGCATTAAACTTCTCCACAACAGTATCTCGGACCTGCCTGGTGTGTTCCTTTGTCTTCATGGTTCTCTGCGCTTAAAAAAAAAGCAGGTGCATTTATACGGAGACTTGATTACACACAGGTGCATTCTATTTATCATCATCAGTCATTTAGGACAACATTGGATCATACAAAGATCCTCTCTGAACTTCTGGAGTGAGTTTGCTGCACTGAAAGTAAAGGGGCCCCACTTTTCAGTTTTTTTGTTAAAAAGTTTAAATTATCCAATAAATTTTGTTCCACTTCACGATTGTGTCCCACTTGTTGATTCATGACAAAAAATAAATTTTTTATATCTTTATGTTTGAAGCCTGAAATGTGGCGAAATGTTGAAAGGTTCAAGGGGGCCGAATACTTTCGCAAGGCACTGTATATTGCTGACTTACCAGAGATCCCTAAACCACAGATTTAAGCCCAATCAGTGTGTGGAGTATGACAGAGTTACTGACAAGAGTTTACCTTTACATTTAGGTCAATAGGAGCCAGAGAGTTAGACCAAAACTTCACCATGAGCTCTTCCCTATATTGGGCTCCATTGAGCGGGTTATGTCCATCTGTATACAGTCTACGGCTCATATAGTCATAATATCCTGCACTTTATACGCCAATAGATCTTTAATAATAAATCGGTTTTATATAGCGCTTTTTTGGACACTCAAAGACGCTTTACATGTCATTATTCATTCACTCCATACATGGTGGTGATGAACTACTACTGTAGCCACAGCTGCCCTGGGGCTCACTGACAGAAGCGATGCAACCAGTATGCGCCATCGGCCCCTCCGACCACCACCAACCATTCATACACACACCACTCATTCTAGGCAATGGGGGTGAAGTGTCTTGCCAAGGACACAACGACAGTAGTCAGCGGGAGTCGATGGTGAAAGTCTTGAGCGGGGCTTGAACCCACGACCTCTACCAACTGAGCTACTGCCGCTTTAGACTTTGAGGTTCTCAACTGGTGGGTCACCGTGACATCACACAGCAGATTTCTACCTTTTAGAGAGACCACTATGAAATCACATTCAGTAGTTTTCTTTTTAAAACAAAAGTATTGTCCATAAATCAGTTTTTCAGGTGAAATTAGGTTCTTTGCCATCACGGTTGTGTTTGCAGCTCCCTCTGATGACAGCACAGGCACCAGGTGACAGTCAGAAAGCAGTGAAAATGTGGTTACACATTCTAAAACATAAAATTAAGCGGTCTTATTATTGTTTCATAATGGACAGAAATAAAATAAAGAAATATTGGGAGAAACAAATACATCTAAGGTGTAAGTCAAAGACAATTTTACTTTACAATTTATTTATATCTGAGCTGAAGGTTTGAATCCTGCTCCCAATATTAATGGAGCGGTTAGGTTGGCAGGTGTGAATTCAGATCCCAATGTGATTGCTGCTATGAGTCCTTGAAACAATGCCATATAAAAATGTGTCCATTTTATATTATAGAAATAAGGCTGCTCACATTTCTTGTTTGGATCTCTTTAATTATAGATATAGATCAAAGACACTTCATTTGTGCGCTAGTTAGTTTTACAGTATTTTCTATCCAACACATTTCACACAAACTGGTAAAGGCCGGTATTGTCCCACACAACATACACTATCCGTCTATAGCGGCTGCACAGAATTATTATAGTATTTGTAACAAAAATAAAAGTAATATTAATTCAAAATGTCACTCTTCCATTGAAAGAAGTTGGAAATGTTTGCTTTCCAGACTTACGGTTGTGTCCAGTCCCAGTGTCAATGCGGCAGATTTGGAACCCAGTGGGAGAATTGGTTCCTGTACGCTGTGTTGGCTGAATAAAACGGCAAAGAATATTCAGAATCAGGGTAACTATATTGAGAATTAGGAGAAATGTCATGTCTGGAAGGAGGTTAGAAGAGAAGACTCACCATTATCTTTGAATTTTTGAGTTAAAGTGGATAAACTTTGCGAGTGAAATGGAGGTTTTCGAATTGGCAGTCCTTTATAATAATTTGGATTTACACCAACTTTGCCATACATTTGGGACGTTGGTAGATATCCAAAAGTCTTCTGCAAAAATAGCCCAGGACTTTTTAACCGAATCTCTGAATTGGGACCAAATGTATTCAGCTCCGGTTTCCAAAAAGCCTCATTGCGATCATCGGAATCCTGTAATTTCCTTTGCAAAGAAAACTGGTTTGGAAGCCATGAAGATCCTGGAAAGCCA